ATATGAACAAAATTATAGCAGAAGTGATGCCACGTGTCTGGCTAAAAAGAGAGTACTAATTTGTTTATTTGGTAGTTCAATGAAGGCTTCAGTTAGTTAAGAATTGGGGGGGGGGGAAGGGTAAAATTGCGTTCATGTTTGCAGTTTAATCTTTTTATACAATATTAGAAATTTTAAAAAACAAACAAAACACTACATTTTCGCAAATATTAGTGGGTGCTTTCTTGTTTGTTTGTTTGTTTTTTGTACTACTTGAGCACTAAAGCGGCCCTCCAATGAGATGACAGTGCCAACAGTGCAAGTTTGAGACAGCTGATATAATAAAAAAACACAATGATAGCAAGCCATGAAGTGGCAGAACATTACATTTCATCTAGCCTAAAGCTGCGTCCACACAGGGAGAGATTCACAGCGATGTGGCGAGCAGAAACCATAGAAAGTGAAAAAATTACTCTGAAGATGGTTATGTTGGCTCACAGAAAATCTGGTGTGGTGTGCATGTTTAAATATAGGCTCCAGTGCCGTTCCATTGGTTTATCTAGTTTATCTGTCCTTTTCCAACAAAAAAATCTAACCAAATCCCAGTACTATCATACAGAGCCCCTCTGATGACATGGTCCAAAAAAATACTACTTCGTGGGCACGAAATGGGAATAACGTGCCCACGAAATACTTATTTGTGGCAGGCACCTTCAGGCCTGGTGGGTGTGGTCCTGCCAGCTGACCGGTCACACCCAAGGATCCTCACACACACCTGGCACCAATCAAGCCTCGTCGGAGGAGCTACAAAGCAGTGTGGCTGAGAGCTCCTCAACGCTGGATCGTTGAGTGACTACCCTTCAGTGTTCCCAGCAAAATCAGTGAGTGCGAGTCTGTCGCTTTGTAGTTGTGTGTTAACGGCTTCCTCTGTGAATTTTCCAGCAGGAGTGCGGGAACGGGAGAGCAGCAAGCAGAACTTTCACGGGAGCGGAGACACGGAGCAAGAGCACTGAGAAGGAGACACGGCACTGGACTTGGAAACGCACAGGGATTTATTATTGTGTATTGTTTACTTCACTGTAAATAAACACACTGCATTAATCGCACGGAGTTCCGCATTTTGAGTCCTTCCCCACACACCCACGGTCTGCCACGCAGACCATGACAAAAATAAAACTCAATCATTCTGTCTCTGGCCATGGTGTATAGGTTTAGCCTACTCTTATGCTTATGTCTCTACGCAGCTGTCCAGGAATTGTATCAATGTGATGTGCGCACGAAATACTATTTCGTATGGCCACAAATAAGTATTTCGTGGGCACGTTATGCTATTTCGAGGGCACAAAGTAGTATTTTGTGGCCACAGTTTATTTATTTTTTGGACTATGTCATCAGAGGGGCTCCGTACTATCATGCTACTGAAAGGATTAAATAAATTAGGATATTGATTTATAGCACTAACGCATCCACTATCTTTGTAATGCCATTATCTTTAAAGGTAACAGTGGAGAGATCAAGTGTAACACAAAAAACACATTCAAGTAGTAAAATTCCTTTACACTGTATAGTAATCAGTTAATTAAAAGGTTGAGCAGAGTCTTAACTTGAAAGGTTTGTTGTTCCCAGTGTGGTGGTAAGGAGGTCAGGCCAAAAGGGCGGAGTTTTATAATGGCCACGAAATCAAACTGTCAGCTTCACAGCCATACACAACAACTGAATGGCTCCCTGTGTGTGCAGCTTAACTTTAATGCTATTTGGATTTTCATCTTCCTTTACACCCACTGTTATAGAAGACTTTTATGTGTGTTTACAAATATTTCAGCTGGAGTGCAGATAAAATACTCACTTTCGTCAAGTTGAAATAATTTGCACACTTTAACCTTTGTGTTCCTTCAGTTTTTTATTTTTGGGAACTAAGGGAAGTCTTTGAGCACAAGACTTATTACAGACTTCAGAAACAGTCACCACTCCTTAAAGAGATCCACATACAAAGACAGGCGTGGGCTGACTATTACTACTAAGTGCTTTTTTTAATAATGTAATCATTTACTGTAATAATGCAGTAATGACAGCCGGCTACTCATTGATCAGAGCATCAGCATTTCAATTTGATTTACTCTTGTAAGGATTTTGAACTTATTACAGAAACCATCAGCAGGCTCTGGGAAATCATTATCATTATTAATCACAAACAAAACTAACAAATTTTACAAAGGTTACACTTTATATCCCAAAAGTTTGATTGTGTTCATCTGGACGTAGCGTTTTCAGTGGGAGAAATGTTTCGTCATTCATCCAAGTGACTTTTCCCCAACCTTATGAACAGTACATTTACACAATGACTGAAACTAGCCCACTGAGTGAACAATGGGCTGTGAAGTCAGTTCCTTGATCACTTACACTTTATAATACAGCCTGTGACTAAGGGCACTATTGGAACTTCCATATATTTTATTTGAAATTACAATGTAATTATATTTAAATGCACATACTTAAAGGTAGCTACACTAGAATAAGGTAAGTCTTTTTTTTTCTTTACAGAAAACTAATAAATAATTATACTGTAACTAAATTTAAGTACTAGTGTACAATTTCACTGTCATTTTGCAGAAAAACAAACAATATTTTACATTTTACAGAGTGGATCTTGGCTTTTTACATCTTTATATAATATTCATTATGTTGATGTGGAGGATCGATATTCTATTATTCAATTATTCTTGTATTTTACCATTATAAGTGTGATAAGGATCGTTCTTCCCTTATATATTAAAAATAAATAACAAATAATAATAAATACCATCAGAATTTGCAGGCTTATGTGACCTTGATGATGGAAACAAAGTCTAACTTCATTTTTGTTTTTTCACAACCATTATTAGATACAACTTTCAAAATGAGTGTCGTTTCCTGTAAAATACCTAGAAGTCATGTACTACCTAAAATTACTTATACATTACTTAAATTAAAAATTAACTCATAGTATTATTATTTATTGTAGCATATCTACTTTAAGTATTTGTAAGTAAATAGAATTACACTGTAATTTCAAATACAGTACACTAAAGATCCATTCAATTGCAGGGGAATTACGCTCTTAATTGCAAACTGCATTACAAAGTGTTACCGAATGTAGTAGTAATGACAATAACCATTAGCATCACAGCCTTTGCTGTCCGTGTATTAGAATTTTAGTGCTCCTTTGCTCCTACCTGTGAGCAGGTATTCGCCTCTCCCCAGCCACCAGTATGACATCACAAAGCTGTCTAGTCCGCAGGTAGCCCTCCATCTTGCGGAAGGTGACATCAGCATGGGACAGAGCGGTAAACATGCACTCCTCCGGACACGCGCACTGCTCCATTGACACACATGAGGACAGCGTGGCACTACTGTTAGACGTCCTACGCCCACACAATGGCACACAGACAAAGACAAACATCCAACAAACATACACGGACAAAGACAGAAAGAGAAAGAGACAGTAACTTTCAGTGGATTTATTGGTGAACAAAGAGACAGATGTGTGAAGAGAGCTACACCAGCTGTTCTGAGTCATCTAATGTACCCTCTTTGTATGTCGCCAGGAGCAGACAAAAGATCTTTAATGGTTCAATTACTAGGAGTAAATGGCCAGATAAATTTAGCCCTCTTTAAAGAAAATCTGCCAATTAAATAGCTATGGGAGCTAAGCCCATAGGATATGCAGTAATTTACTCTGCTCCCTAATGGCAACCAGTTTCCTTGCATTTATACCAACAACAGGAGACAGAGCAGAGTTTAGGACCAGGAAGGCTTCGACATTACTGTTGAGTTTATTTGTGCATGCGTGTTTGTCAGAGATGAGCTACCCTGTGAATTATCAGCCATCATGACTCCCAAACCAGCATTTAATTTATGTGAGCCAGTGCTGTACTTCCATTTTTAATTTAACAGCAGAAGAGGCAGGACTGGCCCTGCAGCACAAAGACATAAAAATAAACTGATACTCCAAGGATAATATGAATTCAACTCCACAGTCAGGAGAGAACTCACACTCTTTTAGTGAAGTGTGTGTGTGTGTGTGTGTGTGTGTGTGTGTGTGTGTGTGTGTGTGTGTGTGTGTGTGTGTGTGTGCTCAAAGCTCAAGCTGTTTCAAGTCAAACTGTCTTAAATTGCAATTTTTCACTTGCATGTTCTACCAGGATTGAATAAAGAGAAAGCTAGAAAGAGATACACAGACATAAATTGTGGAAAAGGTGTTACAAAATGTGACTTTTGTACAAAACAATTTAGAGATTGGATTATTTACTCAGAAATCATTGTCACGTATTGGTGTAGCATGTTAAAAAAAAACTATCACTTGGCACTTGAAGTTGCTATACATATTTTCCGATCCATAATTTTTTATACGTTTGCACATAAATAAATACAGACAGACATTTCCTCTGAATTTCTTTGTGAGATGAAAATGATTTACAGCACTGACATTAAATATAGGATTCATTAGCTCAAAAGAATGTGTAGTTAAAAAAATTTTTTTTTAGTACTGGGGAATTACCACCTGACCATGAATTTTTACATGGTTATTTGTGTTCACTGTTTTAGATTTTCCATCCTACAGCTTTTACTGTTTTGTGTTGAGTCCCAATAGTCTTATCTGTTTTCCTCAGACATAGCAGGCAACTGTTTTGAGCACGGCAACCTCCAAAGGTCCTGTATACAACATAGACTGTATATTAAAAAGATGGATGCATCCTTTTCTTTCTGTTTATGGGTATACACATTTTCTGTTGAGATGCTTTTCTACAGACAAAATCTGCATCTTAATTAAAAGTGTATTTTTGTTCCCCCACCCAACTCAGAAAGGGCATTTTAGGCAGTGACTAAGCATGTATACATAATTGATGCATGCACAATACAGGAGAAGAGACCATTTTACTGTTACTTTATGAACTTCCCTCTTATTTTTAGCCTTTTAATAAATAGAAATGTAGACTAATGTAGAGTAAATGAAAACAAAACCAATACTCATGGTTAAAAAAAGAGATTTATTACAAAGTTTATGACTTTTCTTTGGCTCTTTCGGGGTGGAAAAAGAAAAACTCCTTTGCTCAGGAAAACTAATATCAGAGTGATGCACCTTGCTGAAAAGCTCACACTAGGGCTGTGTCAAGTCATCCTGTCCGTGATTATACCACCACAGATTTTTACATCATATCAGAATATCAGTGATATAGCAACACCACACCCTCACGTTCCCTAGCAAGCCTGGCAACGACACAATACCAGGCATGCTTGAGAGTGAGAGCAGGTTAGCTCCCCGATGACGGTTTAGTAACTAAAAAGAGAAGAAAGCTACTTCAACAACCTCCAACAAAAGCAGCACACTTTGCTTGCTTGCTTCTTGCTAAAGGTGTAAACGACAAATTTGCTTCATAGTTTGAGGCATCATCGAGTACAACCAGACTACAAAGGCTCGGCTGGAGGAGGATGTGCTAGCAGCTGATGTGCAACCCAGTGGATGGAAATGGTGCAACAGAAGCGCTTTAAGTAGCTGGTTAAAGAGCTCGACCCAAGATACAACATCCCAGAAAGAAACTACATTTCAGTTTAAACTGTATTATGTGACAATACTGTGCAGACTCCTGAAAACTTCCAAGGTTAAGTATTAAGCCAGCAGCTTTTGCCTTTTAGAGTTGCCAGCAGCAAATCTAATGCTGTTGCTGCTGGCATCTTGTCATAAATATAATTATTGCAAATTTCCTTGAAATAGTGTGATGAAAATTTGAGGATATATCACCCACCCCTAGCTAGTCCTAGCTAAAAAACAAAGAAACAAAAAACTTAAGGATTCAAAACAATAGTCTACAAACTGGAGTGTGACCCCAGAGTGGCTACAGCCACCTTCAATATACTGTCTATCGCCTGCTCAGCATCAAACCTAATAACCTGCTACTGCATATAATGAGGCTGTTGCAAATATTCTTAATGTGATTATAATTGAATATAAAAATAAATTAGAACATTTGTGTATGAAAATGAAATCTGTTGTGGAAAATAAAATCAACATTACCACTTTTTGTCTCCCGAGTGACACAGAAAGCAAAGCTGGCTTTCCACCTTTAGATACAACGCTGCCGAGGGGTTAACGGCGCATCCAGGAGAGTGAGAGCAGTGAATGATTTATCCTACCTTAATTAGGGAACATAAGTGGACAGATGTGAGCTGAACAACTGAGGGTCAGTGTTGTTAAGTTCTAACATTCATCTAGTTATCATTTTCTTCCTTAAAAAAAAGTTCTTTTGTTTTAGCAACTTTTCTCCATTCTCCAGCTGCTTCCATTTTCACACCGGATACTCGTCCTGATGCAATCCCCATGGGATCTGATTCTCCTCTCGAAATCAGGATCTTTTGCTTGTTAGGCGAATGTGTGAACCACTCCATATGGAGCCAGGCTGTTTCTATGTCTAACACTTTGCAATAACGGTGAGCTAACAACATATATAAGCCAGCTTAATAGTTAGCGCTTGTGTCTATAAAAATGTCTTAAAAATACAAAACTCTCAGATGCTCAAGCCCGACAAGGATCTAGAGAGACTGGAGATGTAACACAAGATTTAATGGCTCAACTCTGTTTGGGTTTTTGATAGCCCTAACATAATGAACCATTTTTCTAGCTAAAGACTCTTTATTTATCAATAACCGACAGATTTACATTTATGTGGACAGAAAAGCGACCTCTTAAGCGGAGGTCCGCACCTGCTTGATGTTAGAGCAGGCATAACAAGGTCACCATTTTAAACCAAGTTAATGCAAGCTTAGGTTTTACGAGATAAGAACTCATTTGTGACTTTAATGAACAAACTCTCACTCTGTTTAAAAAAAAGAAAATAATGTGCACCTGGTGCGTTTATGCACATATTTAGTATAATCACATGATTAGGGATGGGTATCGTTTAGGTTTTATCCAATACCAGTACCAAACCGGTACTTTTGAAACGGTGCCGGTGCTTAAACAGTGCTCGAACTGGTGCTTAAAGAATGGAAAACACAAAATTGGTCCAAAAACCTCTCATGTTCAGCTGTTTTTTTTGTAAAAAGATAACAATGTTAGACTTTTCTGCAGCTATAGGGCATATATGGCATCACTCTTGGCTGGAAGCAGTGCTTAACCCTTTAAGACCTACCATAGAACCAAGTCCGCCAGAGCTTATATTATATTTTTACATGCTGTGGAGCCATTTTTGGGAGCATTTCAAGTTGCTATACATCAATACAACCATTATAGCCCAAACTTTAATAATATGTCTGCATTAAGGGCATAGTAATTACATAAATTGCAAAAAAGTGCAATAAACTACAAAAAAATTGAAAATCGTTTTTGTTTTTTTTAACATATATTTCTAGTTAGAGAAATTTAAGAGGCTTATCCCTCAAAACTGTAAATACAAAAAAAGTTGCACAAACTAGTTTCCCACCACAGGAAATTTATTTTAAGTGTCTTCATAGTTTTATTTTTGAAATACACCAATTTTCATATACTGCGGGAAAAACGAAAATAAATATTATAGTGCAAATTTGCAAAATAACAGCATATGCATCAAAATAAACTATTTCCAGCAGTGCAATTTGAGTCCTAAGCATCCCAGAAACGACACAGAAAGTCATAAGGTCAAACATAACTTTTAAAAACACAAGTATAGGCTCATAAGGCCCCGATGGTAAAAAACTACATTTCCGCAAAATGACGTCACTTCCGGTTTCGGGCAGGTCATGCCGGACATGTGATAGTTCACGCTGATGGACGTAGGAAGTGTTACAAACAGCTGATCGGATCGGCAAAGCGTGTTTCTGGAATATTATGTTTTTGTTGCTGCAAGTGATTTTTATGCAGTTTTTGCAAAGCTATATGTGGAAGGAAACTGTGACCTAGGACAAGCTGATGGCATAAGATGTAAGTACAACTCCTCCGGTTTCATATGCAAAAAAAATTATTGCACTAGCTTACGTGGTTGCAGTGCTACCGGGATTTAAAAATAGTTACGCAAAATGGAGCGTGTCTGCTCCGACCGGCTTTAAAGGGTTAATCAATGGAAAAAAAACACAAACTTTGTCCAAAAACCTCTCATGTTTAGCTGTTTTCCACTTTTTCTTTGGTCATTTTAGCCTTTTTGGTCAGGGTGAAGGGAGTATGTGCCATCAAATAAGAAGACAGCCGCATGTAACTACGACTGTGTTTGCTAGTTCACCTTACATGCATTAATGTAATAACGTGGTTAGCCTACTCAACGTAAATTACACACGAACAACATTAAGCTACTCACGCGGAGAAGAACGGCTGCTGCTGCCATCATCATCCTCATCATTTCTGCTACACTGGCAGGGCTACGGGCCAGGACTCTAATCTTCGGGTTTTTGGGGGATGTTGCTAACTCCGGGTCCGATAACAGGCACCACACCCGCAGTAGAGGTGCACGATGTGAGGTCTTGCAGCAAGCTATCAAATATGGCACATTTCTCGGCTTTTAACAAAACGCTATGCGTCGCCAGGTGTTTCATCAGATTCAAGGAGTTACCTCCTTTGCACAGTATCACCTTAAAGCACTTGTTGCTGGCTGCTGAGTTTGCATCTTTTGCTGAGAAGTACAGCCAGACTTTGACCACTTCGCTTTGGGCATTTTTAATCTGTAGCTCTGCTCTAAAAGAACGTACGTACCTGGGCCCGCCTACTATCCTTGCAAAGGTAAAATGATTGGCTGGAATCCAAAGTGTATGACATCTCAGGGAAAAAAAAGCACCAAAATAAAGCACCGAAATGTGTGCTGCTTTTCGGTCTGGTTACTACCGTTTATGTCAGAATGGCACCGGATACCGGTACCCATCCCTACATGTGATACAGCCAGGCTCATCTCTGCCTATGTGCATTCTCTCTCTGTCCTGTTCCAACTTTCATATCTCCAACTAATCTCATTACTCACTCTCTTCATTCCACCTCATCCCAACATTAATCTTTGCCTCAATTTTCTCCCTCTTTCCTATCCCATTCCAACCCTCCAAGGAGGCTTTTTGGCTGGCTTTCCTGCTCTCTAGCATGTGCATGTGTGTGTGTGTGTGTGTGGATGTGTGTCTGTAGACGAATGGTGTGGCTAAATACTGCCAGAGGAGACGGCTTTGAAGTAGGGGAACGCTGCCTTCCAGTCCCCTTAACTGAGCCTGGCAACCACTCAATATGGACAGAGAGAGAAAGGAGGAAGAGAGAGTGTGTGTTTAGGGCAAATCAACACCATGAAGCCAGATTTTTTAAACCCCCGCACCAGGCAAGGGCACTCGCCCAACTGTCATTGGGTGTCTCTCTCCCAGCCTCTTTAATACGCTCACTTCCCAACACATTAGCAAGGGAAAAAAAGAAGGGGTGGAGGGGGAGGGCAATGAGTGGCCAGGGGTGGGCAGAGATGAATGTGGGACAGGAGGAGAAAAAGGGTAAGTAAGGGAGGTACACCAGGATTAAACGAGGGAAAGCTGGGTGGGGTGTGAAAGTGAAAAGGAGAGGAGGAGATGAGTGGAGCCGAGCAGCGCCTTCAGTCGCTCTGGGATTCTGTGCGCGTCCCTTCCCATGATCCCATTTGGGATTCTGCCACCCGTGTTTTGGAGTATCACACTGTACACAGGAGCTCTCTGAGGATGAATCGCACAGAGAAACACACAAACAAACCCCCACACACCACAAAACAAACATGCTGAAAAGCTACACATGTATGCAGCATACACTAATGTCTGGGTTGGTATGGCAACAATAATGTGTGCAAGGACATGGCTTCGTCTGTATACGTTTCCATTCAGACTCGTGCAGTGAAAATTTTCTCTGCCTGTGTTAACGAGGCATGTGCGTGTGTGCGTGCTTGTGTTACTATTAGGCAGAAGTAATTTGCCGTGTAAGCGCCGCCGGACTACCATCGTCACTGAAGATACGACATTAAGCCTTGCATAACAATGGGTATTATTAAGACCTCAGTTTTCTCCTTCACAAGCAGAAACATACACGTTTGCGGTGAAAACAAGTTCATGAAGAGACATCAAAGATGAATCGGTTTTTTTAAAAATAGGTATATCAACTTTGGCTCTGATGAAAGCTGTGTGTGCACACATGTGCGTGCATTGTTTCCAATGAACCTTTTATATTTTCTGGTAGCCTTCTATCGTACTCGGTGTTCCCCATACACCTCGTATGGGGAACACGGAGTACGATAGAAGGCTACCAGACGCATTTTGCCTGTATAGTAAACACACCTAAAGAAGCTGCCTAAACATTGCTCGTATTTTACAACTGCATCACAATAATATAAGTGTGGTTAGGACATCCTAATTACCCTGTTTTCCTATCTCCAAGGCAACTATTAATTAAATGGCTTTTTCACACCACTACAGCTGGATGGTCACACAGATGCAACACACTTCTTTCCGCATGTGAACACAAGCATGCAGAACCCTAAGGATTAAGAATAAAAGCCTTCGACTCTGATGCTGAAAACAAAACAATACAAATGTCAAGTGCAGTATGCAGCAACATGCAGAGCTCAGCCCTAGAGTCATATTGTAAATGACTCTGAAAATCCCATAAGCACAAGAGTGAATTTCTGTTTGTGTTTGCATGCATTGTCTAATAACAGAGCCTGACTGGTGAAGTGTTATTCACCAGTCAGGCTCTGGTGAAGTGTTATTAGTTGGTTGCAGTCAGTGCACCACACCCAAATGTACTCAGCCCTCACCTTCTCTATCCATCTTTCCATCTGTCTGCATGTTGAGAGTGGTGAGAGCATGCTGTCTGAACAGCCTTCTTATTCTATTAACTCATCAGGGGGGAATTCAGCTTCCATAGACCCTGTGTGCGCCAGAGATCAAAAGGAACAACAATAAAGAAAATAAATGATAAATGGCCTGTATTTGTATAGCACTTTTTCTAGTCCCTAAGGACTCCAAAGCGCTTTACACAACCTGTCATCCACCCATTCACACACCGGTGATGGCAAGCTACAGTGTAGCCACAGCCACCCTGCGGCGCACTGACAGAGGCGAGGCTGCCGGACACTGGCGCCAGCGGGCCCTCTGACCACCACCAGTAGGCAACGGGTGAAGTGTCTTGCCCAAGGACACAACGACCGAAACTGTCCAAGCCGGGTCTCGAACCGGCAACCTTCCGATTACAAGGCGAACTCCCAACTCTTGAGCCATGATTGCGAATAAATTCACATTTTCTATTTAATTGTATTTCTTCCTTTTGAGCTATTGTACTTGTTTAAGCCATTTCATTTGTCGTTAATATTTGGCCTACTATAACACATGATTCCAACGTAAATGAAAGTAGATCCCATCTTAACAACGCACTAGACTGCAAACAGCCCAACTAGAAGAATTACAGCTTGCCAAATGCTCTTCTGATAAGTTGAAGCTAACACCGAGGAGTTCTCTACTTGTTTAAACTTTTCAGGGAAGTGTGCGTCTTTCACACAACTAAGTGCAGAAATTCTGCTCACAACTTTCACCTGAAAAGTCAGAAACTGCCAACAGCATCCCCCTACTACTACCTGCAAGAGCTGGAGTCTGTTTCCGGGTGGTTGTTGTTCTCCTCGTTGCATGCTGCTGCCGCCACCGCTGCTGTCGCCGCCGCCGCCTCCTCCTCCTCAACCCCGGGGGGCTCGGACACCAGCTGGGGTGCAGGGGCCTCCCCGGGGGGCTCCATGCTCGTCACGGGGCGAGAGCGACGTTGAGGCGGCGGGGAGACCCAGGACAGCGCTGCGGAGGAGCTTCGGCACTCTGGCTGGCTGAACGAGCGGGGACAGGCGCTCCCCGTCGCTCCAGCTGCCGCTCCTCCCGGACCGCCCCGACTCCCAGCCGGATCAGCAAACTTTCTGCTGCTGCCGCTGCCGTTACACAGGTTAGACCCAGCGCTGCCACTGGCCACCAGACCGCCGTGACTCCCCGCACTGGGGTTTACGCTGTTTGAATTCGAGTTGCTAGAGCCGCTAACTGAGGGTCCGTCTCCGGAGCTGCCGCCCGCTCTCCTGCCGGGGAAGTAGTCTCCTAGCGGCGGGGAGTGAGGCGGAGGGACCGCGGGGTGACCGAACCACCTCCATCGGATTCTCAGGATCTGCTTCACATCGAACTCCTTCCGCGAGGAAGAGCCCGAGCCGCTACTCGACATTCCAGGGCTCGACACGAGGAAATGGCGGGGAAGATCCCGTGCCGCTCTGCCGTTAAAACTGTACACTGCACTGCACGCGCGTCTCTCCTGGCAACCGCACGCCCGGTAACCGCGACTGGAGGAGTGAGCTGAATATAGCGGAGTATACAGACACACAAAGAGAGAGAGGGAGAGAGGAGGAGGAGATCTACTCTTAAGAGCCAGAGCATTTCAAGTAACCACAAACATCTGCCACAAGGACACGTTCATGTCACAGCTCTGCCAAATGACACAGAGCTGAAAGAGAGTGGACCATCACCATCACCGTCTTTTCCCCCGTCATTACTCAACAGACCAGACAATCAGTCGATATTAATTAATAGGAGATGGAAGCCAGCAGACAGGCAGTTTGTTGTGCGCGCTGAGGTCGATTAGTCGATCAAAATGAAAATAACGACCAACTAGGGCTGCTGCTAACTGTTTTCAGGATCGATAAAGTAATTTTTGGTTCTATCGATCAATCCCAGACCACTCTGGAAAATGTAAGAAGTCCGTGAAAAATGTGAAATTGCTTGTTTACTAAAAGGATGCAACCTTCAAAGCTGAAAAAAAGAAAAAGTGCTGTTTCACTTGGTGCCTGAGGCTGCAACCGAAAGTCAGTCCCCACGGGCAGCCATGTTAAAATGTCTAACGGTACAGCCTTAAAATGCATGTTTACAACCTGCTGCAAAATACAGAGTTGGCAGAGTGAACATTTTGTTGTTGCTCTTTGATACTACTTCAAAAAATTCTTACAACTTAAAACTTTTTTAGCTTTAAAAAGTATTAATGGGGGTATTTGACCTAACTCACGTTGCACTTTTATTTAAAAAAAAACACAAGAGGAGAGGCAATACTGTCAAACTGTTGCAGTTTGGCTTGCACTCACACATGCACAAGTCCCCAAATCACAGGTTAAAAACCAAACTCCACAGTCACACCCTGTATAATTAATAAACCTGTGCAGTGGGCCACCTTTACAGGCTACAGGGTAAAATCCATAATTACAGTAATAAAAGTGCAAAAATAACTTAAGCTGGAAGTAAAGCAGGAGAGATTGGGGGTGGCTGTAGTGCAGAAGGTAGACCAGGTCAGCCACTAGTCGGAAGGTTGGTGTTTCAGTACCTGGCTGCCGTAGCCCTTGTGCCAAAGTAACCTTGGGCACGATACTGAACCCTGAGGTGTTCTCTGATGCCTTGATTGGAGTGTGAATGTTAGATAAAAGCACTTAATGAACTTAGATATAGGCATGTTGTGTAAAGCGCTTTGAGTGTTTAGATAGAGTAGAAAAGTGCTGTTTAAGAACTTTTTGCCATGTTTTCCCCCAAAGTACAAAAAACGATCGACTGTTAGTGCAGAATAGCCTCAACAAATTAATATTAATTGTAGCAGAATCGTGCTTTCCAACTACCTATAAAAGCTAAAGAATAACCTCTTTTTAGCTCCAAAGAGATGTGAGGGGTACCCATAGTCTTACCTGCACAGGCCCATACGCTCCAACTCAGCTTCCTCCTCATGTGGCCAAGAACTAAGCTACTATTAACCAAATAATTACCTTGAGCTTGAGCTGCAGTAACATATTGATGTGGGTATTAAATTTCTTCATTAACAAACTGTATGACTTCATTCTATGCATAGCTGCTTTCTTCTTCTTCATATTTTGGCTGCTCCCTTTAGACGTTGCCACAGTGAAACACCCCATCCCTAGCATCCTCATCTCTCTGCCTTCTCTACATCCACAAATCTTATCCGTGGTATTCCTCTTTTTCCAACTTCTTCCAATTTCCAACATCCTTTGTCCGGTGTATCCTGTATCCCTCCTCTGCACATGGAGGACCATGTCAGCCGTTTCTCCAAAGTGTCCATCTGATACACTCATTTCTAATACTGCACCATCCTGGTCAACGTCAATAAAAATCTTAGCACCTCCTGCTCCACCTTTTTCTTTCTTTGTGTCCAAACCATATATCACAGTAGGCCTCACTGCCATCTTATAAACTTTCCCTTTCACTCTTGCTACTTTTCTTCTGTCATAAATGCAGTGTTGGGACTAACGCGTTATTAAGTAACGCGTTACAGTAACTACGTTATTATTGTGGTAACGAGCACGGTAACTAGTTATTATGCCAAAACCAGGAACGCGTTACTCGTTACTGGGATTTAGATTGGCTCATTATTCGTTACTTCGTGTGGTGGCTATCGCAGAGCTTCCACAGATTCAATAACAATAGCAAGTGGTGGAGGCCAGCAGGTGGATGAAGGAAAAGGGAGGCAAGAGGAGAGACCCGAAGCGGCCGCTGGGCCGAGAGTGTCAGGTGAACTGAACTTCAGGTAAGAAGTTATAACCTGCAGTCCACCTGGGTCAGATATGAACCAAGTTTAGGTGGAGTTTATTTTCGTTATGCTGACTTTTTCGTACTGCGTGCTAGCTAGCATGACGGAGTTTCTATACAGCTGGGTGGTGCTATGCTACTGATGTTGAACTTTATTTTGTTCATAAGTTTAATTATTAGAGTTGCCAACCGTCCCGTAAAAAACAATTCCGTATTCTGGTATTCAGAGAAAATATTACGCGTTTCTTATTGAGGTGAAAAGGAACAGTTTGTCCCGGACTTCAGCTACAATGAAAAAGACACAAAGCTGGAGTTATTCTGTGTTTACGCTGCACAGCTGCCTCTTCTTCTCTCATCCTCTCCCTCTCCTGTTTCTACTTCAATCATGAAACTGATCAATGATCAGCTGATCGGCTTTTCTCTCTTGTTTATTTATCGTCTGCTTTGCGCCAGAAAGAGGAAACCAGTGGATGTCGCGGTAAACAACAGCAGCACTTTTAAGCTTGATCAGCTGTTGTTAGAATTTATTTAATATTAATTTCTAGTATCAGCTGATGTTGGCTGGAGCCACAGCTGTAAAGCTGCTGGTCATGATATCGGTTTGGTTATGTGATGAGAGTGAAACATGAAGATGAAACCAGGAGATGTCCTTACTGAATCATCAGAGCTGTGATGGAGAAACAGGTTTACCTTTTAGTTAACATGAATGAGTTGAAGGGAAGTTATGAACTGTTTCTGAGAGACAAATAAAACCAGGATCCTTTTCTAAGTAGCTGACAGCTGGTAACTGTGCAGGGGCGGATCTAGCAAAGTGTTGCCAGGGGTCCATGTAGGGCATTAAAAGGGAAAGGGGGGCACAAGGAAATACTTTCTTATTCTCATTTAAAATGTCTCACTTTTTAAAGAAAATAACTATCTGAGTCTTACAACAAACGATTTATAGATTGATACATATATACCATCAGAACAGTGTACATCACTGTCACAACAGTGTTTGTTTTCATTCAAAGGCTTTGTCATTTTTCCTATAATGGTGGGCCAGTCTCTAGTCAAAATGCCCAGGACGATTTTTTTGTCCCAGTCCAGCTCTGTATGCAGCTCATCTGCAGTCTGGTGTTACCTACATCTTCCTATTCAGAAGGCAGAATTTCCGAGTTCTGAGTACAATCGAAAGCACCACGACTGCAGTTTTTGCGTTGGATGTAAAAAGCAGGCTAGGATAGAATTAGGCGTGGAATTTCTCTCGTGGAAATGTGCACATTATTTTTTCCTTTCTATTGGTAGGTGGCACAGTGCACTTGTGGCAAGTAAGCAAGCTAGAAAACTGGCAATCTTGCTGGGTATCCAGTTACGGAAGCAACACATTAACAAGAGAATTCTGAGTAAAACCAAAGTTACTTTCCCTAGTAACTAGTTACTCTGAAAGTAACGAGTAACTTGAAGTAACTGAGTTACTTTTGATAGAAGTAACTGAGTTACTTTTGATAGAAGTAACTAGTAATGTAACTAAGTTATTAATTTAAAGTAACTTACCCAACACTGCATAAATCACAAATCATATTCATCTCCACCTGCTCCACCCTACCTGGTCTCTCTTTGTCACCTCTCTTGTCCCCCCAGGTGTATGTCAGTAGAATTCACAGACAACAGTGACCTTTAAGGAACCCGATAACTGCATTTGTGTGTATTTTTAAAGGACTATCTAACAAATTACGGTTCACTGTGTGGTACTTCAGTTTTGCTGAGGGAAATTCTTGTAGTTTTTTTTTTTTTAAAGTCCACGCTAATTAGCTGATATGTGTGTGCGCATTGCACCCACGCAGCTTATGAGTGCAGCTTGCCAACCAAGCTACTGCTCCACCCTTTAATCCACATCTGGCTCCAAAATAAAGCAACAGGGAAACAGCTAAAACCTTCCAAATGTGGAGTTCAGCGGGTGACGCCACAGTTAATTTTGTGATTTTCAAGTAAATGCAACAAACATCCCACTAGTGTGAGGCTGAATTTCACATAGTAACAATTTTGGTATTCACCTTTAAAAAAAAAAAAAGAGCTTTAGTGTTCAGACTCTGGTTGCAACAACAGGGCACGGTTCAGGTTACATAGGATAATTTGTAATAAGTCGTTACAGAGCTGCTAAGAGACAAACAGGTGTCTTTGTAGCTTTCAGTGAACACGAAGGTTTGTGAGGCTGCAGCAATCATTACATGGTAATCAGAGACTCTAAAATGTAATGAGGCGGTGGACACAACCTCTTCATCATCTTCTTACCTTGTCTAATGGTGTTCACTCACTCCTTTCTGCACCCTTATTTCTCTGAGTCGCCGTCCATGTTATTGCCTCTGAACAATCTTACACTTTGTGGAAGCTGGCTGCAATACACTGATGTGATGATTTGTTTCTTACGCAGATACTGAAAATAGCCAGCACTGCCTCAAATCACCACAGCGGGAAGGCCTGAGTTCCTGAGTTTTCCTTGAGAATAAGATTTCACCACACATGCACAATCTTAGACAGACATGTCTCTTGTTTTTGGCCCATGCACATGAGCTTACTCTTCTTCTCTATAAGCCATTACTATCATCCATCCATTACTACGCTCCCTCCTTCACCTCCCCCTTTTCTCTCCATCTGCAATGCAGCAGCTATTCATGGACAATAATGATCTGTGGGAGTGGGCCCTGTGGGAGCCATCCCATGCAGACACACTCGGGGCACCCGGCGGCCCAGCCAGGCAGAACCTTCTTCCCTTCCCGCAGTAACCCCGGGACGACCACAGGATGTGCCAGAGCCAGAGAGCCGGAACACCTTATGTTCTGGATGGAGTCCCACCAACAGGAGGGGAGGGATGCTTTAGGAGTCCCACTCTAGCAAAAATCAATAAGTCAAACAGCTGAGGTCAGTTTGTGAATTACACAGATGGGAGATGTGTTACTCATAGATTGGCCCTGCAGAGCAACAGCCAGTCGGAGAGATTCATTCTTTCCATAAATAAATGACTGAGAGGAGCAGTTTAATACGGCCGATTTAACTTTCACCGCTTTTGTTTGCCAGGTTCTGAGAAACAGGGCTTTTCTTCAGCTTCAGGATGTGCTGATGACTAAGTGCAGGACCACCCTGCTGCTTTATCCGATCAATACTACAAAGTCAATACAAACGCACACAGACACAGGCACATAGAACACACACACATAAACCAAGGCTTTGAGGAAGCATGAAACCAGCAGCAGCATCATTATTAAAGCAAAGAAGTAACAAAAAGTCAAGGAAGCGAGAATGATTTCACAGTGACACATCATACTCCTTTAGAAGGAAACACTTTAACTTGTTAGAGACACTGGACTTATTTATACATGCACTCGCCAGCCACTTTATTAGTTACACCTGTTTAACGGATTACAAT